GCAGGGTGGGTGTGGCTAGGGGACTGCTTTTTACTTGTAAACATTTTTTAATTTTAATTCTCATATATGTGCATTTTACTTTGATTAAAAAAATAACTTTTAGAAAACACAAATGAAGTAAATCAGTACTGCTTCTCCCTTGTGGGCACTCACTGAACATACACTCAATTGCTCTCCATCATCTACTGGGTAGGATTATTTTCTTTGAGTCTCATGTTTGTAAAGTAGGGACAGCAGTCTCGCAGACTCACTCCTCTGTGTCCACTCTCAGCACAGGCCTGACATGAATGTCAGAAATAGTTTCTACTTTTATTGTTCTTAAAATCATGTAGCTCATGACCATCAAGAGTATATTGTGAACCAAAAGCCCCACCAAATTTGACAATTCTATAGCCTCCGTACTAAATGTTTAGACATTTCAGAAAGGGAAGTAAAGACTACTGACATGTTGCTGGTGGCAAGCAGGGCATCGACAAACAGCAACTAAAGTAAGGAAGGAGATACAGCCACACCCCTCTCCAGGGCACTGGTGAGCATCATGGTGTGTCCATGAGGCAGATCACTGAGCAGTCACAAAAAATGTGATGACATGGAAAGGTGCCAAAAGACACAGTGTGATCAAGTTATAGAACAAAATGAATTCTATAGGATCTTCTGGGGGAAGGAGTAACAAATAACAATGCACAGTGGGCAAACTACCCAATGTTCAGAGAGATGCACCACATGGACATATATTGGGAATGTCATGGGGAGTGGGGGTTCGTTTTCTGAAATGTCTGAATTTTAGATAATGTATAGTACAGCACTTCTGTAAGCTGAAAACAATGAAAGAATAGGGAAAGATATTTTACAGAGGTCAGTTTCTTAGACTTTAAAAATTGTTTCCCTTAAGATAAATTCAGCACTCTAAAATCATAGATGCTATTATAAAATATTAACTTGTTTCTGAAATGCCTGCCCAGTGAAAAATCATCAGCAAATGGGCCTAAGCTATTCTTCAGCACAGACTTACCCAGGTGGGTGCTCACTCTGAGGAGTAGGCCCACAGAATTAATGGGAGGGCAACCTCCACACCTCCCTCAACTCCATGTCCTCCAGGCCCTTTCTATCCTTAGAATCCCTTAGTGTGGAATCTGGGGAGGGCAGCACAACAGGGCGGGTATGCACACACCCAGAAGGTACACCAAAAAAGCATTAAACTCGAGGCTGCAAAGGGTTTGTGAGGCCTCTGAGAACCAGGAAATGGCCAGAGGCCAGAGCTTCAGCGCCAAGCTTCACTCAACTTTCTCTCAACCATTTTGGAGGCTGGACTCATGCAGAAGGAATAAGAACAAGGAACACAAGGGCCTACTTTTCTGTGTGGATGAACCAATTTTATTTCTCTCGGGTTTTCAGGTGGATAAGGGATAAGGGGTGTGTGTGTGTGGGGGGGGGGTTTGCACTGATAATGGTAAGGAAAGGAAAATGCCCTGGAAAACCCACAAATGATGAGTCTCACCCAGTGGGGCCAGGACCTTAGAAGGAAGACTGAATCTTGAGAACTAGGCTCCTCTTTCCAGGGGGATGGGAACTCAGGAAAGACTGTGGCTGGAAATCTTCAAGCAGGACAATCACTCTGAAGGCAGGAGGCAAAGTTTGCTAGAGAAACAGTAGCACTTCTAATGCAGACATAATGGCTTTCATGTGCATAAGATAGCGAGGATTGCAAAGCAACACCAACTGCATTAGGGCTGAATTTGACCCGGCAATAAAGTGGAATTGTGCCCCAAGGTTAAAAGTGGTTTCGATTTTGAAGACAGGTGCTTCATTTTTGGAATATTTTGTTAATCTTTGCCAATTTCACAAATAACTTTCATTTTTGATGTCTCCATTGGGAAAGTCAAAAAATGAAATAGCTTCTAAAATCTTGCTTTTACAAGTAAAAATCAGTAACTCGCTACCTGTACTGTGCCTTTCGCTTACTTTCAGTAGTTTCCTTAAAACTCTAGCTCTAAGAGCACTTTTTAGACTGGTTTGTTTTGTAAAATCCAGAAAATAATTAACCAATGTCTTTTTTCCTAAAAATACCACCTTGCAAGATGAAAAAGGTCAACAAACACTGCTGAAGATAGCCGAATTCATTTCAAAGACAGTTCATTCATTTTTCTGGGTGGAGTACTTCAGGGAAAGTTAAAAAAGAAAAAGAAAAAACCCACACCCACCCACACAAAAAAGATGAAACAGAAAGGAAGGGGGACAGGTCAGGAGGGTGAAGGCGGGGCCACAGTTTGTCTGTTCCAACAGGTACTGGCCACACCTAAAATCTGGGAGTGGAGAGAGGCCCCTAGCTGGAGAAAGCCAGCTCCAGCTAGGCCTCCAATCTGCAGCCGCCTGGCCAATGGGGAGGCTGAGGCACAGGCACACCAAATTAGGAAGCAGACTAGGGAGGAGCAGAGGCCTGGGCTCAGCAGCAGCTCTGGGAGCAGCCTGCTCAGCTGCCAGGGCCCGCCCACAAGCCTGCTTCCCTAGAGTGCCCCTTGTACCTTGAGAGATGGACACAGGGCCTTCCCAGGGTCTCCAGGGGAGGGTACAGGGGAGGAAGGGCGGCCAAGGATGTTTGTAAACATGTCGGCTCCACCCCTAGACAGAGAAGGAACTTGGCAAGCAAAACCTCAAAGGCTTCTGAGGTTTCCAAACACTCAACTGATTCCGCAGTGCTAAGATAAACGGATGTAAACAGAAATCCTTGTTCAGTGACAATTAAAGGCCAAACAGTGAGAAAGTCAGTCCACAGCTACAACTTTTTCTGAAAATATTCTACCAGTGAGCGAATTGGGTGGTGACAAGAACCCAGTCCCTCTGGGACAGGCTCCAGGAAAAGGATCCAGCGAGACAGGAGGGTGGGGACAGTGCCACCCCCCACCAGCCCAGCTCCAGCCAGAAGAGCTGGTTAAATATAAACCCAGAGACCGCCTCCGCTCAGACTCTGCCACACCAAGGCGACTTCTCAGAACAGCTCCAGCCCACACCTGCTCTTCTGCTTAGTAAAAAAATTTCTGTTTAATCCTTTACCACTGCCTCCCTTCTAACACAAAAGCCACTTTAATACTCAAAGCTTTGCTTGAATATCTTAACCAGCTGGCCACTGTTTGTATTTGGAGTATTAGTGGGAAATATGTTTATTTTATGAAGCCCTCCAGGTACCAACCAAAACATTATTCTTAAAAAGCACTTATTTGGCTGGATTATAAACTGATTATTAATAATCCCAAGCCTGTAAGGGTGACCGCATGCTTTGATTTTCACTGCCTGCTTAAACAGCACATGCTGTGCCTCTTAGGGCTCTCAGCTCCCAGCAGTGTGGGAAACACCTTATAACGTTCCTACGGCTGCTCTAAGATGCCACTGGATAAAGGTGTCCGTACCTGGTAGTTGTCATTGAGATGTAATCCATATACGGTACAATTCACCATTTAAATGTACAATTTAATGCTTTTTGGTATGTTCACCCAGTTGTATAGCCATCACCATCTAATTCCAGAACATCTTCACAAACCAAAAGGGAGCCAGATACTTGTTAGTTTCTGGACATTTCATGTCAATAGAGTAACACAATATATGTCTTTTGTTTCTGGCTTATTTCACTTTATATGTTTTCAAGGTTCATCTACATTGTAGTGCATACTAGTAAATTTGTTCTCTGTTATGGTCAAATAATATTCCATTGTAGGGACATACATTTTATTTATTCCTTCACTCAGTGAAGACATGTAAGCCATTTCTACTCGAGCTGTCATGAACCTGGTGTACAAGTTCTGGGTGGACCTCAGGACCCAGGGAGCTGTCGGGTCATGTGACCACCCTCTGTTTAACCTTCTGAGTAACTGTCAGACTGTTTCCAGAGTGGTTGCAGTATTTTCCTACAAATATGTATAAATTATACACATAAGAGGACAGCAGTCCTCCCTCACTCATGGGGGATACCATCCAAGACCCCCAGAGAATGCCTGAAGCTAAGGGTAGTACTGAATTCTGCACATATATGTTTTCCTCCTATTCATAGACACCATGATAAAGCTTAATCTATAAACTAGGCACAGTAAGAGAACAATAACATAATAAAATACAACAATTATAACAATATACTATAATAAAAGTTAAAGTGGGCTCTCTCTCAAAATATATTATTGCACATCATAATTCTGGACCACAGCTGACCACGGTAACTGAAACTGGATAGCAAAGCCATTGATAAGGGGTGGATTTATGTAAGAGCGCCATCACAGAACATTCATCAAGAACTGAGTATCCACGTGTGAGATTTAATTCACTGGAAGTTAAGAACAGTGAGCTCACATGCTGAATTTTGGGTTTTAGAACAGAGTTTGTGTTAGAAATCTGCAAAGAGCTTAAGAAAGAAGTCTGTCATAAAGCTGTAAGGACTAAATAGTCATACTGTATTGTACTCAGCACAGGGCCTGGCACACATTACATTCCCAACAAGTTACTATTCATTGTATCATCACAGAGAAATGAGCTTCTTTCTACTGTGTTTCTATTCACAGGTAGAAATCACCCAGTTTCACCCTTAAGCTTTCTCCCAAGGGCTTATTTTATAATATGCCAAGGAGGAAAAAATTTTACTTTCTCAACATCTACAAAATTTCTAAAACTTTGCAAAGAATTTCCACAAATAGAAAACAAAGTTCACCGAGTCCTTTTCAATGTCTTTAAAAAATCATACCTGCACTGGCTAATAGGCCACACTTCAAACAGGAAAAGTGATTAAGTGATTCCTTACTTTTGTAAGAGAATCCTTCAGAAAACTTAAGTAGTCAAGTCCCCTGATACATTCCAAATAGTCTCAAAATTCCCATTCCCAGGCAGACATCCAGAGTCATACCCAATACTGTAGAAAATGTAGAACATCGCTATCATTTTCCTTTTTCTGAGAAAAACAGAGCAGAAGGTCCTCGGGTTTCAGAGGAAACCACGTGTTCAGTGCGTTGGAGGCGGCTTACCTGATGGTGCCGGTTGGGGATGGGACGGGGCTGACCAAACTCCGGAGGTCCGGCTCCGGAATATGGATCTTCAGAGGGGAGATCTGAGGGTACAGTGGCCGGAGGGGTGATGCCGGGGCCTCTTCCTGTTGCAGCAGTGATGTGAATTGAATCTTGATGGCTGTACTGGGGAACCGGAAAGTGCACCTGTGGCGAAAGGAAAAGCAGCATGTGAGACACAGGAGGAGAAAGCAAAGACAGCACAGAAAGGTTCCAGTTCATCAGGTAACAGTAAGGTATGTAACAAAGCTCTCATCATAACAGTGGGTCACATATGCCCAATGGCGTCTTTCATGCTTTTGTTTGAGTATTAATACCAATATTAGTTTCCTTGCACCATACATGTGAAGGAGGGACACGTCATCCACAGATGAATAGCTATGATGTCATTTACTACAGCAGTTAAGGTTTCCACAGTGTAACTGTCACAAAGTCTCAGGGCAGCAGGCGACTTAGTCACTCCTGTCTGTGTTTAAAGAGCACAGATGGGGGTGGGGGGGGCACCTACAGTGTGTGGTTAATGCCACCCCTATGGATTCTGGCAGTGCCATCCAAGGCAATTTAAATGCACACTACAATTTTCTTCTTTTATGAGACACAGTTAAAGAAATGTTTGTCATTTTCCCACTTTTTTTAGTTTCTCCAAATTCAGTGGAAATGTCTTCCATTAGTGTTTTGTAGAAAGTTACATCACATGCATTTCTAAGATGTTTCCTGAGGCCTATGGTCTCCCCGATCTGGAGACAATGTCCTCTCTTTTAAGTCACAGCAATATCCATCCCATCTCTTATCTAAGAATGGGTCAGGTATCCCCAAACCTGCAAAGCAATGAATGAGTATGGAGCTGGGAATCTGGCTAAGAGCTCCATACAGGTGAGTGGCATTCAGCTAAGATGAGTGCCACCTGTGCAGGACCAGGCTGAATGAGTGTGTGCATGTGTGTACACACACACATGCACACACACACACCCCTACCCCCCTGTTTTACCACTTAGATCTGAAGGCAATATGACAAATAATTACTTTAAAGATAGTTTCTATGGCTCTTTACTGTTGGGTTCTTCCTTCAGTAGCTGCAAAACAGCACATTTTACTCTTTGCCAAAAGGGCACACGAGTAGAGCCCTGACTTTCTGCACCATAAGAACCCCTGTCTTAAGAGATCTTATGGTGCCACAATCTAGGCCCACTAGAAAGGATGTGGCTTCTGGCCTACGAGGGAGATCAAAAAGCAGACAGAAGAATCTTAGAAAACAGGGCTGGGGGTGAAGATGAGAGTGCATGGTCCCTGCGCTGGTCAGAGCCTGTCTGCACAGCTTGCCAGGCCAGGGGGTGACTCTGAGCTGAGATGGGAGAGTGCCCAAGGGGCACATCATCTCAGATGACTCGTGGCAAAGGCAAGCAGGGTTCAGAACCACAGCCCTGACCTCTCTGGGCTTCCTTTTTCTTTGAACAGAAGAGATCATCTCTAAGGTGCTTTCCAGTCATAAAAAGATATGACTCTAGATAATATGGGTATAAAGACTATGTTTTTAGTACAAACCAACATTCTAAAGGTAGGGATTTAGGTATGATATTGGTGGCAACAAATAACACCATCAATAATGGATACTAGCCAGAACAGTGACCTATTGTAATGGTTCTTTTCCAATTAAGGTTTGACAATAAAGATTTTCATATTACTTACTATAGCATCTATTTAGACTCACTCCTCCAAAATTAAACAGAGGCAGAGTGTCTCCTACCTCAGAGGGGCAGAAAAAATACCAGGAAGCTGCTTCATTTTAAACAGATGTCTCCCCAGGGTGCTGCAGAGTTCACCAATTACATTTCTCCCTGGAAGGTTTTCATTCCATTGCAGGCCATCGCTGGAGTTTTAATGAGCATGTTTTGCAATTAAAGCTATTCTCTTACAGGTGCCCAGTCAATCTAAGTACAGTTGCCTTGACTGTGGGGTCCCTGCTGAAGGCTAAGATGTGCCTTGCTGGAGATGCCACCTGCCCGCCAGCCCTGTATACGTGGCACCCACCTTGGAGGGAGATTCTCGCCTAAATTTACAGACAGAAAGTGTAGCTGTCTTGGTGGGGCTGGACACTATCAGAGCACATGCTCCAAAATCGACTGTGGTGACAGTCGCACAACTCTGTGTATCTACTAAAACCTACCAATTTGAACAACTAAGATGGGTTAGTTGTATGGCACGTGAGATAGGTCCCCATTGCGATGATTTTTAAGACATTGTTGCCCTATAGCTCCCACACTCAGAGTCCACTCCAGTCTTGGGTGTTTCTCAGATCCATCTGGAAGTTAAAGGCTCCTAGAAGCTCAGACAAACTGGCAGTGCCTTGGTGCCACATGAGGCTGCCAATTTCAGCGCTGCTGGGAAGGTGGGCTCTGGTCTCTCTGCTCAGCCATCACTGACTTTATTCTCATCTGGTCAAGACCAGGGAACCCGTCACCTGCCCTGTGGCCACAAAGCTGTCAGAGAATGAAAGCAGCACGCTCTTAAAGGTGAATAGCCAGTCAGGAAACAACAGACATTTAGGGAGTGTCTGCAACAGGAAGGCAGAGACCAAACAAACATTTGGGGGGTGGGGGAGAGGAAAGGGCAACCTGTGAGAGAAGAATGCAGACTACCAGCATATTCCTGAAATAAGAGAGTAGCTGCCACGTAGGCACTGAGGGGCGCAAAAGCACATTCAGAAAAACAATTCCTCAGACAATTCAATAAGCACTTAAAAGAAAATTTCAAAGAGAAGGCTGAGTGACAAATCTGAAGACATCTCCAAGGAAGGGCAAAAAGTTTGGCGGTTCAGTCCAGGAGACTGAATTTGATTTACGTTACAAAGGACACCCATTCTCAGGAAGCTACCAGGGATCACAGACTGTGGTCCCCTTAGTGCTGCCACCCCGCTTCCTAACTGTCACAACAGCTGTTCTGGTGAAAACAGGCCAGTACAGTCACGAAACTAAAAATATGGTGTGCTGCATCCATGGTTGGGAAGTGATATCACATAGGTACAGGCTGAAAATCTGGTCACCTTCCCTGTGATGCCTCAGACTGGAGTGCGGGGCTAGAACGTGGGACTTCAGTGATGTGAATGCTGGAAGGCTGTGGCATTTAACAGACCAGTGTAATGGTCCATCTAAGCTAAGGCGACACCAAGCCTTTCTATGACGTGCCTCAAGGGTGAGGTGCACCCTGAGCCTCAGGACAGACTCCACCAGGTTTACAGCCTCAGTGACAGCCTCACCATAGCCACCGTTCAAGGGTAACAGCCAAACAGGCCCTAGTCCAGTAACAAAAAATAAAAGACCAGGGTTTCAAGAGTGTAGCTGGTTCTGGGAGGCTGGCTGTGGTTCTTATGAATGGACACGGGGGACAGCCTGGGAGCCCACCCAAGGGTCTGAGGCAACTCTATTGTCTAGGAAGACACAAACCTGGCCTATGAATATGATTATCCCATCCAACCTGTGCCAGTGGACAGCAGCCAGGAAGCAGGTCATCTGTAGGCTGCCTTCAGACAGTCCACCGAGGCTGGTGGACAGATTCTTCCAGAAGGGAGATGCAGGGACTGCCAGGAAGGCCACCCTCAGAACTATCCCTCTGGGGAGTGGGCTTTAAGAATGGATGGCTGTGACCAGTGAGTGTGTATCATTCTTTTCTTTTCCAGATCAGAGTTGCACTTGCCTTGCCCTATTTCTACAGCACAAGGCTTTTCTCAGAGGGAATAAGTGAAGCACACAGAGGGACCCAGACATCTTGGACTTCATAGGAAATTGACACTGGTGGGACTCGGGGCTGCCCCAGGGACGAGTGTTTTTTATGTTGGAACACAAACATGGGGTGCCAAAAGGGCAGACTATGACAGGTGCTAGTCCAGTGGACACACATCTACTTCCGCAGTGAGCTAGCTTTAGCTGGACAATCAGCTGCCCCACTGAAGATGATGCTTCTCTGCCTCTCCTACAACCATGGACTGTATGGTTAAGGGGATGTGAATGGCCATGTCCTTTAGAGAAGTGGAGTGTCTTCTTTACTTTTCATTCAGCTCCCCAGTATATGGGAGCAGATTCTGGAGCAGTCAGTATGGGTCATAAAAGGGGCAGTGGATAACAGAGATGCCATTCACTGTCTTTGGGTTTCTTGCTGCAGGAGGCCAGTTTGTTTGCCTCTGACTAGTGAGGGACTTTAGTTGACTTTCCCCAGATCTCCCCGCACTATCCCAGTAGCCCATTCTCAAACCAGGTCTGTCTGATTTCAAATTCCGTGCCTTTAGCTGCTGTGCTACACCATTTTGTCTGCTGTTTTCACTTATCAGCGAGCATGTCATCAACATTTTCCTCCTTCCTCCATGGTAACAGGAGGACCTGGTACGACTGCATTAGCTTACATTAAGACTGTGATATACAGAGAAATAAACTTCACCCTTGTTATTCTGACCTTCAAACCTACATCCTAATTCTACATAGCTGAGAGCTCTAATGGGGAATGGCTGGACAAACCCTGGTGTATGTTCACGGAGGAATATTTTTCCACCTCAAGGTAGAAAGCATGGCTAGGTCTCTAAGTCTCAAGGAAAGGCTGGGGACAGCTGAGCTGACTCAACAGGCAACCCAGCTGGCTTTTCTTATGCCTTCCTCCTGCCCTTGACTCCACCTGCACGTTCTTTGCATGTGGCACTAGCTTTCCTGGGGTGGCCCAGACCAGAGCTGCATAAGGTCTGACAGGGCATGGCATGCCGAAGGCATGGGGGTGGGGGTGAGTTTGTAATTACTCTGAAAGGAAAATACGACTTTCCAGGAAAAAGTTTTGAAAACATTTTTACAATATGTATACTATAACATAAAATTTCTAAGTCAAAGGATCCTGAAATTCTCAAAAATTTTTAAGCTAAAATATCTTATTCCTATTAAAAATGTAATATATTTTTCTAGAAGATTCCCCCAAAATTGAACAAAGGAGGGTGCAGTCATGGGGTCTATTTCACTGCAGAGACCATGCAACTGCTGTGCCAAGACGCAGGCTGAATAGTGAGGGTGAAGCAAGGCAGCCCTGGGTGCAGTGATAAGCAACTTGCTGCATTTCTTGGACTGTAACTCAAGTCATGTCTAACCTTGAACAGTTACAATGTTAACCCGCCCAGC